ACCCCACCTCCCCCTCACCCATGTGCTTGTAGTCATCCGTGGACACAGCTACAAGCACATGAGTGAGTGTGGAGTTAGGTGATGCCATGGTGTGCAGCACAGCTCGAGGAGGCCGCACACATGAGTACAACTCCAGACTCCTTGACTTGGCGATCATCAGCAGATGGTACGCCCGTTGTTCCACATTCCACTGTGTTTTCCGCATCATTGTCTTCAACCTTCTCTGGTACAATCACCCCTGCTGCAGGTAAGTCATCTGCTGCAGCATCTCCACTTCCTTGGGGTGCATCAGCTTCATCAGCTCCAGGTGAGTTATGTTCTACAAGGTCTGCTCCATCGCCTCCCGAATTCACCGCGAACCGTTTTCCTTCTCCCCCTGAAGTCCACACCGCAACGTGGGGTGAGACTTCATGCGTGGTATCATCATGTGCCGGCTTCCGCACGACGCAAGCTTTGTGTGCCATGCGGTATGCAGAATGGGTACGCAACTGCACTCCAGGTGTGCGGGGATTCGTGCTCCCAGGTGCGTCCATGTGCACACCAGGTGTGCGGAAAAGGGTAACCCCTTCACGATCAACCTGATTCGATGACGCGTCATCACGGGAATGTCCATGATCATGGGCGGATGTAAGTGCATGCGCATACTGCACCACAAGCACTCCATCCACGTTCTTGCCAAGTCAAATCCGCACACTCTCCTCTCCATGAGTCATGGTGATCTCGGTGTCTCCATTAGTAATGGTATTGATGTGCGCTCCCTTTTTCAGCAGCTGACAATAGGAGAGCAGGTTGCTCTTCAGACCAGGTACGTAAAGGACTTCAGTGTAGCGAACCGTTGTCCCATCAGGTGCCGTTGCTCTGATCGTTCCCATCATCGTGCTGCTCAGCTCGCTCCCATCAGCAAGCTCCACATAAACAGGTTCGTCCAGCTCCCTTAACTCTTCAAACCAGCGCTTGTTCGAGGTCATGTGCTGGCTGCTTCCACTATCTAGCATCCAAGATGACGCTTTAGCTGGTGGTAAGGTAGCTTGTGACGATCCCACCGTTGCAATGCACATAACAGTACGTTGCTTGTCTTCCCCGGCTGCCCCTTGCTGTTTTGACACATCGTTGTCACGCTTAGGGCTGCCACTCTTTCGTGGGGAGAACGAACGACTCTCGCCGGTGTGCAGTTTTGACCTTCTGGTATGCGGTTTTGACCTTCTGGTATGCGGTTCCCACCCTGGTGGTGACCAGCCAGGGGGTGCCTTGGTACACTTGAAGAAGGGGTGGCCGACCTCCTTGCAGTACCAACACACAAGAGGTGAGCGACCTGCACTTCCTTCCTTGCCTTGCATTTTCTCCCCAGCGAATTCTTCCTTGTTCCTGGTGCTGCCCTTAGCAGTTGGAGAAGGTGAGCGATCTCCGCGCGCTTGTCCAGCCATGCGAGGTGGACGCCGGTCATGGTTAGCCTTCGTGATGAGGTCGTGATACCTCTGCTCCTGAATCATCATCCGTTGCAAGGTGAAGCTGTCCGTCACGTTGTGTAGCATTCCCGAGTGCCTCATCTCCTCCCAATGCGCCGGTAGTCCGGTGAGCAGATTTAAGGTGAATGTGTCCTCATCCACCATCTTCCCCGCAAGTGCTAACTTGTCCCGGATTGCCGTTGCGCGGTTCACGTACTCTTCCACCCTCTCTTGTCTCTCCATTTTCAGGTTGTCCAACTGCTTCAAGAGAGAGACCTTCGCCACCGAATCTTTGGCCTGGTAAGTATCCATTAAGTACTCCCATGCTTCATATGCTGGGCTATAGGATTCTTGGAACATGTCCAGCTGTATCTGAATCGTGGCGCTCACGCTGTGCAGTAGGACCCAAAAAGCGAGCGCCGCACGTTGTGAGTAATCCGCCTGTAGCATTTCCAGCCGCTCCATAGCGTCGTTAATGTCACCATCTCCCATGGTAACCGGATACTGCAGGGTCACAAAGAACTCCCACATATTCGTGACGCGAGCGTTCATACGAAACCGTAGCGCCCACTCCCGGAAGTTCGAGCCATCAAACGGAGTAGTGGTGAACGCTTTGTCCACCGTTGCTCCCACCATTTTGCGTGACACTCGTTCCTTGTCATCTTCCGTGTATTCACGTGGAGCGGGGTCGAAGAGAGTACGCACGGCTGACGGTCGAGGTAGTTGAACCGTGCGCTGCATGTCCCCATTCTGTCCACCATGCTGACGTTCCAGCACTTCCACTTGATCCCGTCGCATGACACCACTTGTCTGCATTCCGTATCCCATCCGCCCCATGCTGTCCACATAGTGTGCGCCTATCGATCGACGAGGTGCACACAGAGGTATGACATTGCCGTTATGAAGGTGAGACCTGGCCATGGGAGGAGCTCCAATGGGATGGGAGTTAGTCGCAAGTTGTCGTAGTGGGGGAGCACCAATAGTGTAGGAGGCAAAACCCACACCTTCCACGCCCACTTGACCATTTCCGTCACCCTGCTGCCCAATCTGTCCACTTCTCACTCGACCATGCACTGCACTCCCATACTCATCATTCCTCCCCCGTGCTTCCCTTTGCATGGATGATTGAGGTGCAGGATTGGCCTTCTCCTCTCCTTGGACGGATACATCCATCCCTTGGGATGACTCTCCTCCTTGAGGTATGCCCATTTCCACTTCACCATCAATTCCTCCATGAACATTTGCACAAGTTTGGTTAGCACGTGGAGTGCTTGAATGAGAGAGTCCACGGGTGGACGGATTGCTGGACTCATAAGAGAACGTTGTCCTTGGCTGGATTGTCATTCCAAACTTGTTCCTTAACGAAGCTTGGAGTGCTGGTGGTGCCCTTGCAATCATGCTTTCCAGGTGCTCATGCTGAGCCATGATGACTTCTTCAAAAGCCGCATATCCAAGATCCACTTCGCCATCGAAGTGCGCCATGACCTTGACAAAACCGTCTACCAAGTGTGCGGTAAACGCGCGGTTGTTGTCAGAGGTCCACTGGTGATCCCCGATTGATCCTAGGGAAGGGTTACAGGCACGTTGGCCTGGGGGGTTATGGGCGCACTTACCCGCTACACAAACAAGCCCTTTTATCCCAATGGTCTAGTGGTTGGGATTCTGACAGTTGTAACCAACAGCGAACACCAGGTGTACGAAAGCGTAGACCGGGTGTGCGGTACTCTGACTGTATGCAGGTACCTATCCAAACTGTATGACAGTAAATTCATGAACCAGTTTTGGCAGCATGCCCCCTATAATAGCTCTGATACCATGCTAGAAAGGCATAGTGCCAGCGTAGCGGAAACGTGTTTGTAGAAAAGAACAAGATAGAAATCTTGCATTGATCATTGAAAAGTAGAAGGATCACACAATGATGACTCAATGATGTGACACAACAGGGTATATATGCATCCAGCTGCCCCTCTAGAATGACCCATTCACACCAATAATGGTGTACCAATAATTGTACCCTCTACCCTCCAATAATGCTAGGCTCCAATAATTGTGGCCCCTACAATAATTGTGACAATTATTGTAGAACCTGAAGGCTTATAAAGATGACTACACTAAAACGAAACAGCACACTGGTATACAGTATTCGTTATACTGTATTCGGATTTCGAACTAGGAAACCTAAAAGTGTTGTAAGGTGGGTACAAGTAGGAAAACCTAAAAGTGTTGTACCCCATAGGAACTACCCCACTACAGCCTAAATAGACTATAGCATATAAGTTTGACAGGAGTTATGCGTTTAGGGTTGATGTCTCCCTCGGATGGCATGCCATCCGATGGGGTTTTTTTTTTTTTTTTTTTTCCTTCCTGGGGGCAGCAGTTTGAAGGAGGTCAACAGGTAGACGGAGGGTCGACGGAGCCGTCGACCCATTTCCGTTGAGATATGCCTTACATATGGTATGTATTTTTCAAAATACGTACTTTTCTATTCTCACCGTGCCATTCCTGTGACTCTCTACACCGCCCCCCACTCCTCAGACCCACCGCTGCCTGCTGGCTGCTTTCACCTTCATTCCCGCCATCGCAGGAGCAGTGAGCGCATCTGTGCGCGCGGCTCGCCTTTTTCACGTTTTACTCCGCGCGCTGCGGGGTTCAATAGCCTCGTTTCCTGTTCGAAGCGCGCCGCAGTGCCGTGGGCACGATTTCGACGTTGACTCCGCTTCCTCGCGGAACTCAACTCGCACGCTATTCCCCCGCGCCGCGCAGCCACTCCCGCCCCCCTCTGCGCCCCGCCCGCCATGTGACAAGAACACCCTGTACCTGTCAACTCCGCGGACATTCGCTTGCGCTCATCCTCAACACCCCCACCAGTCCCTGCCGCCCATCGCCCGTTCCTTCCGCTTATCGCTCCCGCTTCTCCCCTTGTCTCCTCCCATCGCCGCCACCCACCCCTCCTGCCTTCCGCCGCGCCCGTTTCTGAATTCCTTGCGTTCCGTTCATTCCGCGCATTCCGCGCGCTTCTCTCCCCGCCCGGCCCCCACCCTCGCTAGTTCCTGCGCGCTAGTTTCCTCTCCTCCCGCCTGCGCTGATCCGTCCCTCTTCTCGATCGCCCCTCCCTGTAGCAGCAGCAGCGGTCGTCAAGCCATGCGGCAGCCGTCCGTGCATTGAGCGCCAGCGGTGAGGTGCACATCCTCACCCAAGCTGTAGTAGCGCCTGTGGCCGGGCCGGGCTTACACAAAGGGTTGAAAGGCATCCGTTGCGCCTCTATAACGCCCTCGTTCTGACCCAGTGGTATATCGGGGTGTTATACAAGCATACTGAGCCCTCCCTCCCCTCCCTCTCCTCCCTCCGCTCCCTCATCGCCCTCCCGCCGTCCTATCTTTTTTCCTGGACCATTGTACCAGCACGCAACCCACGCCATGGACGCGCGTATCGCCGCCCACCGCTTCACACCGCTGCTCACCGCTGCGCGCACCGCTGCTCACCCTTGCTCACGGCCTTCAAGATGCTGAAAGGTGCAATTGCTATCTCACTTGGGAACCTCAAGGAGCCACGAGCATGGCAGGCGCGCACACTCGTGTGGAGGCAGCACTGGGAGTTGGAGAAGCGGCGGCAGGGCCTTGGGGTTTTGAGACGTCTCAAAGCGCGCACAGTCACGTGGAGGCAGCACTGGGAGTGCAAGGAGTTGGAGAAGCCGCAGGGCCGCCTTGGCCTCCCGACAGCCTGCATCACTCTGCTCGTTTCCAGGCTGATAGGCAACAAGGAGGGCCGTCTCAGCAGCACATGCAGCCGGTGCACCATGGGCGGCTGTTAAGGCGTGAGGGGGTGCTTCATCTGTGTCGGTTGCTGCTGCTTGCAGCGTGGGCAGCGGCGTGCATTGCCGGTGCATGGGGGCTGGCTGGGGACCACCGCGGCCTCAGAGGTACGCCCTCCTGCTGTGCTGGTGCTGAGTGCCGTTGAGTGCTGCTGCTGAGGGCTGCTGAGTGCTGCTGAGTAGTGCTGAATAGTTTGAGTGGTGCTGAATAGTTTGAGTGGTGCTGAATGGTGCTGAGTGGTCTGCCTCACAAACCCCTAAACCGATTTTTAAGGCTCCTGGTAAGGAGTTGAGAAGCAAGGGCTTTGTCAATAAGATGTGATGCAGAGCGGTGCTGACTGGTCCGCCTCACGAGCCCCTCTCGCCTCCAACGCTTCCCGTGCACCACCATTACACCACTCCCACACCACCCCCACACCACCCTCACACCACCCCCACACCACCCTCACACCACCCCCACACCACCCCCACACCACCCCCACACCACCCCCACACCACCCCCACACCACCCTCACACCACCCCTACACCACCCCACACCACCCCCACACCACCCTCACACCAGCCCCACACCAGCCCCACACCACCCTCACATCACACCACCCCCACACCACCCCCACACCACCCCCACACCACCCGCACACCACCCCCACACCACCCCCACACCACCCTCACACCACCCTCACACCACCTTCACACCACCTTCGCACCACCTTCACACCACCCTCACACCACCCTCACACCACCCTCACACCACCTTCACACCACCTTCACACCACCCTCACACCACCCTCACACCACCCTCACACCACCCCCACACCACCTCACACCACCCTCGCACCACTCTCGCACCACCCTCATTCCACTCTTACCCCACCCTCGTGCCACCCTCACACGACCTTGCGTCACATCACTCTCACATCACCCTCACACCACACCTCGCACCAGCCTCACACCCCCCTTCATCTCCCCGCCCCCCCCCCCAAACCCCCCTTCACCCCACCTCACGCCCCTCTCTCTCTCCCGCTCCCCCCCCCTCTCCCAGACTGTACGGACATCTTGGCAGCAGGAGTGGCTCTCACGCCCACCACCGACACACACACCGCACCTGCCACCTCCGTGCCCCCCTCCTCCACCGCCAACTCGAATAGCACCTTCTTGAATTTCACCTCCCCCACTGTAGATGGCACCTCCCCCAACTCTACTGCCAGCAGCAGCAGGGCGGGCGAGTGGGGGCACCACCGGCGGTACGAGCGGCGGGCGGGGCAGTGCTGGAGCCGGGCGGAGCTGCCTTGCTATGTGGGCATCAGCAGGCACACACGGGTGCAGCAAGAGCAACAACAAAGCAAAGAAAGCACGGGGGACATTTTTTCCCCCGAGGGAGCTGGGCAGAACGAACAGCAGCAGCATGGGATGTCGGAGCAGCTGCAGGTGAAGCTGCGGCAGTACCACACGTACCGCCGCGAGTGCCTCCACCGCGAGCCCCTCCACCACCTGCGCTCCACCCTGCTCGCCGGCAAGCCCACCGCCTGCCGCTACCTTGTCTTCTACCACCCGTCTGACGGCCAGGGCAACCGCCTCATCTCCCTCGTCTCCGCCTTTGCCTACGCGCTGCTGACCGATCGGATCTTCCTGTTGAGCTCTAAGAGTGGGCCCGCTGCCGTGCTGTGCGAACCGTTTGAGCACGGCGAGTCGTGGGTGCTGTTTGGGCGCGAGGAGAAGTTGGAGGAGCATCATGCGCAGGTGCTGGCGCTGAAGGTGGCGAGGGAGTGGAGGGAGGTGAGGGAGGGGAGGGAGAAGAAGGGGAAGAAGGGAGGTGGGCGGAGGAGGCTGGTGGAAGGTTTGGTGCAGAGGCAAGAGCAGTGGTTAGGGGAGTGGCAAATGCAGTTGGGAAGGCAGCAGCGTTTGCTGCAAAACATCAATCCAAACACGCCAGCACCACCATCACCACCAACAGCACTGCCACCACCACCACCACCTACAGCGCCACCACCGCCACCACCACCACCACTAGCACCAACAACAGTTTCTACACCCACCTCTCCTATGTTTCCTCCCCCAATGCCTCCATCATTTCAACCCCCACCCTTACCTCCCCCTCCCCCTCCCCCTCCCCCTCCCCCTCCACCCCCACTCCCACCGATTCTTCCCATGCCAACCCCACCACTGCCACCCACTGCACTGCCACCACAAGCATCATCACTGTCACTACCAACGCCACCAACACCACCAACGCCATTTCCAACGCCACCACCAGCAGAGGCAGCAGCAGCACCCCCACCACCCCCACCCTTACCCTCTCCGCCTCCCCCCCCACCATTCGAAACGCCAGCAGAAGGGGAGGACGAAATACCACCAATGTATGTCATCCGTGCCAATGCCATCCTATGATGTCCCTTGGCATACCACTGTTTGTGCCATGCCATGTGTGGCATGCCCACGTGTGTGTGCCATGCCCATGTGTCTGTATGATTGCCATGACAGTTCACGGTAGTGTCATGCCATCATTTGAGGCAATGCCGTCACTCAATGCGTCACTGAATGCCATCACTCGACACCCCTCTCTTCGCGATCTTGTCTCTACGCCCCTTCTCTGCCCCTGAGTCTGACCAGTCTCCCAAAGTCCCATTTCCCTTGCTCCACCATTCCCTCCCTCATAAGTCCATTCTTTCTCGTCTCCATTCCCCTCTCGTCCCCCCCTCGTAACCCCTCGTATCTCTCTCTCAACCCCATCCTCCCCTGCTAGTCATTGAGTGGAAACCCACTCCCCTCCAGCCCTCTTCGTCTGCCTCGCAGCAGCCTCCCACACCCCCTCACTCCCCAAGTTCCCACTTACTTCCTTCCTGATTCCCCTCCAACACCCTCCCCATTCCCCCCACCCTCTCCCAGTCTAAAGGTGAACATCTTTCACACAACCTCTCGATCTGGGCAACTCTTTTTCTGCGAATTCGAGCAGCAATGGCTCTCCCGCACGCCCACGCTCCTCCTCTCCTCCAACCAGTACTTCCTCCCCGCCCTCTACCTCCTCCCCTCCTTCCGCCGCCGCCTGCTCCTCCTCTTCCCCTCCCACCAGCCCTTCCGCTCCCTCTCCCGCCTCCTCCTCTTCCCCCGCAACCGCATCTGGGCGCAACTCACCCACCGCTTCCACTCCCTCATCGCCCCCGCGCCCGCGCGCATTGGCCTGCAGGGCCGCTTCCCCACGCACGCGAACGAAGGTCGACTGCGGTACGACACGATGAACATGGGTCGATGCCTGTTGGATGCTCTCAACTCGTCGGTCCTGCAGGAGGCAAGGGAGATGAGGCTTGGGGCGGATTGGGAAGAGGGCGGGCGATGGAGGGGGGTGGTGGAGGGGGCTGGGGCAGCGGAAGGAGGGGAGTTAGGGAGAGTTTTCACAAGCAGTGGCAGCAGTAGCAGCAACAGCAGTAGCAGCGACGGCAGTGGGGATGACTATGGGTTAGAGGGGTTGTCAGGGAATGTGACAGAGGTGATGGTGGCATCTTTGAACGCTGCTCTAGTGCATAACCTGTCAGTGGCAGTGACAGGCAACATGAGTGCAGTGCGAGTGAGTGTGGGGCACGACGCCACACATGCTGCCATGGGTGTTATACTACCGCCCATTAACAGCAATGCTGCTTCTCCTGCTCTTCCTGCTGCTGCTCCTGCGCCCATGTCTCCAGATGTAGCCAACAGCAGCAGCAGCAACGGCGCATCCGACACCCACGTCCACATAGTCCGGCTAACGATTGATGAGAAGCAGAACAATGGCGATAAGGCTGGTGTTGACCGAGCAATGGTGGACATCTACACTCTAGCTCTCTTCTCCGACGCCCTCATCATCTCCGAGGTCTCCACCTTTGGCTACCTCTGCGCCTCGCTCTTTGGTGTGCCCCGCACCACGTTCGTCAGTGCCACGTGCAAGCGAGCGCCGCCTGAGCCGTGCTTGCACTTCCCACCGGGGAACGAGCGGTGCCCGGATGGCCAGGCACAGGTGCTAGAGCAGGCGTTGGCTGCAGACCCGCATGTGCCGCTCATGCACTGCGTGGATGTGAGAAATGGGCTCACATTGAAGCCTCTTGAAGGATGGGAATAGGCCTTCTGAGTAGGGTAGGATCTGGATAAGCTTGCGCGTGAAGTGTCGCTGTGCTATAATGTCGGCTAAGGGTGCATTCCGCTGTGAACACTTTCTCAAAGAAAGTGTCCGAATCACTTTTGGCCCTAGTCGCCCTCAAATGTCTCGGAACTTCATGTCCCAATCGATCGATGTACTGCGACCCACGGCGACATCTCGACAACTTTGTGTGAAGGAATGTGATTGGTCCGTTGTGTGAGTTGCCTACTCAACCTACGCGTCACATGCACCTGGGCGGAAGGTCTGCGGGCGCGAAATGATCGGGATGGTCAATAATTCCGAAGGAGCCTTGTGTGGCCAATCACGTTTCAGAGTACGCGTAGCTACTGAAATCCGTCATTGTAGAATGATGACCAGGTACATTCAGCATGGATTGACATTTGGCACCGCGTGCGATGGCTGGTGTGTGTTGAGTTGGCGTGCAATTAGCCCGCGACAGTTCCGCGTTTCACGCCACCCAATGAAAAAATACTTTTTGCGACAAACAAGAGCGGTCCGGAATTCGGACACCTGGCAGCATATGTTGTAAGTACGCGTCACTTCTCTTTGAGAAAGTGTCCAGAGCGGAATGTACCCTAATTCCAAATTTAGTACCGTTGTTGAACACCCTTAGGTCCTGCAATATTATTCATTTATTCCAACTCGTAACGTGTCGGGGAATAGATTGAGCAAAAAAGGCTTGTGGAAGATTACAATATGCGAAAGATTGTGGTAAATTGCCTATTATGAGTGGAATTGAGCGAGCGAGAAAATTTTGAACTATCAAGGCAAAACAATACAATGAGCGAAGTTTTGAGCGAATTGTTGTACGGTAGCAAAATCAAAGGTAACGTAATGAGTGATCACAAAAAGCGCCCCTGGGGCCTATCGCAAAGGTTGGGAAAATGTCGAGGCATAGGACCGGGCCGCAGGTTACAAGCCGAGCCGTGTACTTTGCTCGTGACGGTGATGGTAGCGGGAACAGTTTCCAGGCGAATGACTTGAGTGTTGCAATAATTGGCTCCGCCCTTGCTTGGGCGATGCCGATTTCGCAGTCGGGTACGTTGGAGGTACAACCGGCCGACTTCCTTCAGTGGACGCCGACTTGGGGGAGGAAGTCGACGGAGTTGGTCGACGTCGGCGGGACCACTGCGATGGCGCGGACGAGGCGAAGTCGGCTGACGGCTTCGGCACGGGCGGTTGACGAAGGCGTTCGTCGACCAGATGTCAAGTCGACACCAACTTAATGGCCTTTTCTGGTCGGCCATGTAACCTGGTCGACGAAGTTATGCGGAAATGCGCGAACTTTGCCCCGATAGATTTTGGCGGAGTCGACCTGCGTGGCGACATCATGTGGTCGACATGGTGCACCTAAGCAATCATCGACATATGGTCGAGCCAGGACCGGCGCAACGTGCGTGACAGTGCACGACGTGCTTAACTAACTACCTGCACCTGCTTGGTAGGTGCGCACATGTGCGCACGTGCTGACCTGCTGTTGAAATGATGGCAAGCCTCCTTGCTGCAGCGTTGTCAAGCCACCCTGGTACTACGTTGGCAAGTCGTCGACTTTCAGTGTTGTCAAGCCGCCTTTCACCTGCATAGGCACGCCGCTGACGTGCGGAGTTGGCAAGCTGCCTTTGTGCTGCGCTAGAAGTCGACTTGAAAGTGTCGGGTTGCTAGTACATTTCTGCTGTATTCAATTTGCCATTGCGATTGTCATTGTTGTTCACAACTTTCAAAGTGAAACTCTTGCCAATTCGCCCCATGAACACAGGAAGTAGAGAGAAGACACGCAACACTACAGTCACCCGTACAACCCTGTAGCCTCCGACGAAGGCTAGCTACCACCGTTGTAGAGTGACTCTCGGCATGGTGCGATGAGCGTGGACGGTCCCGCAATAGACCTTCAGAATAAGCCAACTTTGCGCATCACCTAAGATGTTGTTAGGCCGACGCCATGGTTGAATCTGTTGTCGAGGCAGGCGTAGAGGATACCCTGCGGACGAGAGAGACTCATGTTCGGGCATGCCACCAAGCTGGCGAGTTTGGCGCAGCGAGTATGGAGGTGCTCCTCCTATGCTTTCGTGTGGGCGCGCGGGCATCCCCTGTGAAACTAACTGAACAGGAATGAATTGACTAAGAGTTGGGTACAAATACAACCCTAGCAAACTGTACCCCATATGTGCTACCCCACTATAGCCTACAAACATGCATCAGCTATAATAATCTGACACACCCCCATAGGCAAAGTGGGGGAGAACAAGGGGTCACAAGACCAGTCAAGCAAAGCAAAGCAAAGCAAGCTCAGGGTGGATCACAAAGTCACCACACAGTCCGAGCACAAGAGCAGGGCCAGAGGCCAGTTCACATGCAGGAGTACAGACATATATATAAAACTAGACAAGCAGGAGCAGGTATATATATGACAAAGTACAAGTAAAGTCAAGAAGAGAGCAAGTGAGGCAAGACAGGTACAAGACCCAGCTGGGTACAAAAGCGCTGATGGTCACAAGGCGCAAGTGCCTTGGTGAACACATCAGCAGTGTTGGCCTCAGAGGCCACGTAAGCAAGTCGCAACTGACCACGCTGCTGCAGCTCACGAGCAAGGAAGTAGCGGAGAGCAATGTGCTTCGTTCTGTGCTCCAAGCGCTGCTCTCGACACAAGGCCAGCATGGCCTTGTTGTCTACGTACAGCACTGGAGGAGAACTAGGCGGCTCTCCAAGGTCGGTCAGCAGGTAGGTGAGCCAGCGAAGCTCCTGTGCAGCCATGGCCCCGGCGTAGATCTCAGCCTCACAACTGGAGCCGAGAACCGAAGACGAGCGAGTAGACCGCCACGAGACAGAACCGGAACCAAGGCTGAAGGTGTAACCCTGTGACGACCGCTGCGTAGCCTGGTCGTCAGCCCAAGAAGCGTCCGCGTGGCCGGTAAGGACCACTGGACTCCGCCCTCCAAGCACTAGCCCCATGCCCGACGTACTGCACAGGTAGCGCAATACCCTCTTCGCTGCAGCCATGTGCTCCGGTCTGTGTCTCCCAGGAGCAACATAGCGTGCAAGAATGCTAAGAGGGTATGCAAGGTCAGGTCGTGTGCAGGTCATCAGGTACATGAGGCAGCCAACAAGCTCTGCATACGGACCACTCGACTCTACGGACTCATCCGAAGGCAGAGCTGAGAGTGAGTGGCGAGTAGGCAGAGGAGTGGCCTGAGGCGAGGAGTACGTGAAGCCGAAGCGCTGAAGGACCTGCTGCACCATGTGTGACTGAGTCAAGGTAATGGTGCCACGTGCTCTGTCCCGAGTGATCTGCAAGCCAAGGTAGCTGCGCAGTTCACCCAGGTCTGTGCACGTGTGTCTCTTCAGCAGCTCGGACTTCACGTAGGCGAGTCCAGCAGTGTCCGCTGTGGCAAAGACCAAGTCGTCGACGTACACGAGGATGTAGAACGGCGGCAGGGAAGTGTCGGTGCGAAGAAACAGCGACGGGTCAGCAGTAGAAGGAGCAAACCCAAGAGCCGCAAGCGTAGTCCTCAGTGTGTCGTGCCACTCACGCGGTGCCTGGCGGAGACCGTAGACTGGCCGTCGGAGGCTCCACTGGGTGCCAGGAGGGAAAGTCCCAGTGAAGCCAGGCGGACGGCGCAGCCAGATCTCCTCGTGCAGGCTACCCTGCAGGAACGCAGTGCTGAAGTCGAGGGAGTGAAGCTCGTAGTCGCGCTGAGCGGCAATGTGCAGCAGCACCCGAAGAGTGGTCATCTTCGGGGTGGGAGAGAAGGTCTGAAAGTAGTCAACTCCCTGCCGCTGACTGAAGCCACGAGCCACGTAACGCGCCTTGAAGACAGGCGGGGAGCCCGGCGGCCGCTTCACCCTGAAGATCCACATGCCACTGACGATGTTCGCCCGAGGAGGGGGAACCGCGTCAACGTAGGTGCCTGTGGACTTCCAGGAAGCCATCTCTGCATCCATAGCTGCCTGCCACTGAGAGGAGTAGGGACCCTCTACGGCCTCCGCGTAAGAACGCGGAGTCGGGATGTCTAGTGCATCCGGGTCTCCCTCAGGGGCAAGCAGTACAGACGCGAGATGAGGTGAAGCAGCCGCTAGACACTGTAACTCCTCCTGCCTGTCCTCTAGGACGTCCGTGCCAAGGGCACACTCACCCCCGACGGACGGAGGACAGGCGGACTCAGACTCAGCGACAAGACGAGCAGCGTAGTCTAGACGACAGCGCGCAGCAAAGTCGACAAGCTCAGTGACAAGGGCAGACGCAGCAGACGACTCAAAGGAAGGGTCAGTGACAGCAGTAGCAAGGAGACGCGTGACAGTAGGACTGGCAGCACGAAGAGAGTCCGACTCCGGGTCGGCAAGAGCAGGAAGAGAGGAAGCAGGAGGAGAAGGCAAAGGGGCACGCAGAGGAGCAGTGGACGGACGCAGTGACATCCGGTGCGTGCCAGGGACAGGAGGAGGACTCTGACGCGACCCGCGACCACTAGCGCGCTCAGTACGAACAGGCGACGCAGGACGAAACGCAGGCTCACGACGCTCAGTAAGACCTCCAGTCGGACCAGCGTAGGGAGAAGGAGCAGGCAAAGGGGAGGCAGGCTGTAGCCGTGGCTGTGACCGAACAGGCTGTGGACCCTCTAAGGAAGCAGGAGGAGGTGCAAGACCAAGAACCTGCTGTAGGAGCGGAACGAAGTACGGTCGAGGCCGCACGGCGACACCAGAAACAGCAGGAACAGCACCAGTCCCCCCGTCAGGAGGACCCACGCCAGCAGCACCTCCAGCAGCACCTCCAGAAGCTCCAGAACCCCCACCAGCAGCACCAGGAGCACTGTCAGTCGGACCACCAGTGGCAGGCTCAGCGCCAACACCCTCAGCAGCACCAGCTCCAGGAGAACTCTCAGACCGAGCAGCTCCAGCACCCACAGTACGAGCACCGTCGGGACGCGCGGCAGCAGTACCCACTGCAGGCGAAGAACCACCAGCACCAG